TGCAGCCCAGAGTACGGTTGGCCTTCTGGGCTGCCAGTGCACATTGTTGGCACATGTCCAGCTTTTCATCCGCCAGTACCCCCAAGTCCCTCTCGACAGGGTGCTCTCAATCCCTTCATCCCCAGCCTGTATTGAGTCCCAGTTCTGGGCTCCAATTCAAGAAAGATGAGTAACTCCTAGAGAGAGTCCAGAGGAGGGCTACAAAGATGATGAGGGGACTGGAGCATCTCTCCTATGAGGAAAGGCTGAGGGAGCTGTGCTTGTTTAGCCTGAAGAAGAGAAGACTGAGAGGGGATCTTATAAATACTTGCAAATATCTTAAGGGTGGATGTCACAAGGATGGAACCAGACTCTTCTCAGTGGTGCTCAGTGCCAGGACAAGGGGCAGTGGGCACAACCTGAAGCAGGAGAGGTTCCAGTTGAACGTGAGGAAGAACTTGTTATCTGTGAGGGTGCCAGAGCCCTGGCCCAGGCTGCCCAGGGGGGCTGTGGAGTCTCCTTCTCTGGAGATCTTCAACCCCTGCCTGGATGCTGTCCTGTGCCCCCTGCTCTGGGTGAGCCTGCTTGAGCAGGGGGGTTGGGCTGGGTGATCTCCGGAGGTCCCTTCCAACCCCTGCCATTCTGGGATTCTGTGTGATTCTGTGATACTGGGGGTTACCCCAAATACCTGGGGTTGCCAGTAATAGCATGCTTTATGATATTGCAGGAAGATATATTGCATCTGCCATGCGATAGGTGGGCCCTCAATTATTTAATTTCTTATGCACAATCTTCCTGACAGGTCAGATGCCTTGATTCAGTGGGCAGCAGAGCATTTCTCTCAAGCATGCTTTCTGCTGTATGAACAGATGCACCCAGAAGACCCCTTTGGACGTGTCATGCAGCAGCATTTTAGCCAGCTGAACTCTGCACTTCAGTCTTTGGCACAGTACCCTGACTGTGAGGCACAGCAGAGGCGCTTTTTTGAAAAGGTATGTACCTGCAGTTCTAGGGCACACATGAAGCATCATATACCTGGCTAAGATTGTAATATTAAATAATTTTGGAAGTCATCGGCTATGTCAGTTACAGGTTGAAGCAAACAGGGCCAGTATGACTAGCCATTCGAAGGTCCTTCCAACCAACTTGCAGCCTACTTTCTGGTATAGGATTAAGGCAAGATGGGTTCTTCTGAGACTTTTGATATAAATTAAGTTCTTAAGAGCTTTACAGGTAAGAGGTCTATCCTCACCAGATTCTGGACTGCTGCTGTTCCAGCTAGACAGTCTTAAAGGCTCATGCAGGTGTTTAATTTAGGGTCTTAGTTTTCTTGTGGGAAGTGAGTCTCTATCCTTCCAGAGGTAATAATTTTGAGGGATTTCTGTTTTAGGGCTGGACTGAATGCAGTGTCATGGATATGAATGAGTTTTTCACCTGCTGTACTCCAGAAGATGAGCAGCAAAGAGTGCAGGCTCTGGAGCCTTTTGATGAATATGAGGTAACTCTCTTTTATGCTGAACACTAGTGACCTGGCTTTGATATGATAAGGTGTTTGCAATTTATTATGGTCATGGTTCTGTACAAGAGCTCCTGAGGCATAGGTGTTCATGTAGGCAGAAAGGATCTTGAATCAGACTTAGTTAATGCAGAGCCTGCAGGAAGGCCCATGTGAAGCTAGGGCAAGTAGCAGTGGAAGAAGGCTGGTGTTAGAAACGCTTCTTGTTCCTTCTTCAGTGAGTGGTCTCTCAGGGAGACAGTCTTAGCATAGCAACTAGCTAGTGGAATAAGAGATGTTGTAGATGATAAAAGGTTGCATGGGTTTAAGGGGCAATTATTTTAATGAAAGATAAATCCATTGAGGATTACTGAATACATAAAAAAACATCTGATGTGAGGTTCCTGGCTGCAAATGGTTGGGAGCATTCCTGGGGGGAGTGGATGCACTTGTCCTGCTCTCTTGCATTTCCATAGTCTATTACTGTTTGTCATTGTTGGATACAGGTTACTAGTTTCAGATATTTTTTGGTCTGACTTTGTACAGCCATTCCTAAATTAATGATTGATGTTTAACTATGACTCTATTCTTTGACATTTTTATGTTAACTGCTGGCAAAATTTGTGACTATTGGAAGTCTAGAGGAGAAGATAGGTCAAAAAGACTGAGTAACTTCAAGATAAATATCCTGTAAGATACTTACTAGAAGTTCCCCTTTTAATTTTGTGGTTCTCTGTTTATAATTCTCTCCAGAAATCTAACAGCCTGCAGTATGAAAACAATTTAATGTGCTTACACTTATTTTGCTAACATGTGGGATCTGCTTTGCTACATGAATGCAAAAGTGATGATTGAAAGATGCTGGCAGATTTGCAAAGTGGTGTAGAAATGTCTACAAGAATTATTGTAGATCAAGACAATTGCTCATATAGTGAGAAAGTAAAGTCTTTTTATCATTTTGCTTACAGAAGAGCTTAACATGTACACAAGTCCAAGCTGAAAAATGTGCATAAGAGTAAGATGTGTGATAACAGAGAGATCTACAATTAGCCTTTGAGATAAAGTAAGATCCAGGTTTTACTGGAAACAAGCCTGATCAATTTAGATAAGAAATGTAAAATATATACTTAGTGCTGAGGGTTACTAATTTTTAGAATAATTTGCCTAGGGACAAGTAGTGGATTCTTCCATTTTCAGTATTTACATTAATTTTTTTATATCACTTTTCAAAAGATGCTTTTTGCTCCTGGTAGAAATTGGGGTGATGATGCTAATATTGTGGTTTCTTGTGCCTTTTAAATTCATGTTTAGGCCTTCTAGTCACATAGTTGGCTGACTATAACACCCCCGTGGACTCTAGTATTGCTGCTGACTTGTTGTACAGTCCTCTTGCTTGTGCTTCTGCCTCTGGGTGATTCCAGGGTCAGACTGGAAATCATATTTATGTATTATCGTCCAGCAGAGACCATGTTGCAACTTCGAACATTTGTGATTTCTTTGGGATCACTTATGTTCCATGGCCTTTAAGAAACCTTAATCCCTCTGGTGTACAGACCTCACTCTTTTCAGTGATCAGAACTGGGAAGCATAAAGGGAAGCCAATTAAAAAACCAAAAAAATCCTCATGCAACATATAATTAAGCTATGGAACTCCTTGCCACAGCATGTTACAGATGATAAAAGTTTATGTGAGTTTAAAGAGCAACTGGATAGGTTCGTGGATGAGAAACCCATCAAGGATTATTCAATACAAAGACACAGCTTCTTGCTTACAAAATCCCGGAGCTGTATATTTTTGAAGGTTGGGGTGAGGAAAGTATTTACACATTTGCTCTTTCTCAGATTCAACTTTAGTTGTCCGATTTTGGCCACTGTTGGAAACAGTGCTAAGCTGGGTAGGTCTTTGATTTGATCATCCTGGCCATTCTCAGATCCTTACTACTGCTTGCTCTAAGATTTTTAGGGGGATTGTTTTTTGTTTTGTTTTTTTTTTCTTTGGGTTTGCTACAGGAATGGCATCTGAAATGTTCTCATTACTTTGTCTTGACTGCGTCAAAAGGGATGGAACCTTCCTGGACTCCATTGTTATCCAATATGACAGGTACATACTGGATAGTTTTCATAGTATTCTTTTATCTCATGCAGGCTTCTCTGAGAGATTTTGGGAGACAGTAAAACCCTGGAAGGTACAGATGGGATGCTGTCATCTGAGTACCTTTCTCCATCCTTCTAACAATGGTTCTGCTGTCCACAGAGAGGCCAGGGCAATGTCCTGACTCTGGTGGTTTCCATCAGTTTCATTCTTTCAGTTTATTGAACCTTCCAGTCTGAACAGCTCCTCCTTCTGTTTATATGTGGGGCCCTCCAGTGCATGGCTGCAACGCCAGTCTACCCTGCTCTTCTTCCTATTTTTGGCATCCCACAGACTCTGTTTTCAATTTATTCTGCTTGCCTCCATACATGGTGCTCTGAGCCATTCTATCTTTCCAGCTCCCAGAAGGTTGTTATGTTTTACTTACTGCACTATCAAAGTGTTGTCCAGCAGAGCACTCAGGAGTGTGTCATGAAGTTCGTGCTTTGTTTTGTCAGCCCCTGTGGGAGGAATTGTACATGTAGAATTTCTGTTCCTGAAATACTTTTCAATCTGTATGTTGCTTTTTTTAGATGAGAGAAAAGTGGTACAGCAGGGGAAAAGCCAAAACCAAGACTGTGTTTCCATGATAAAAAGGACTTGGCAACAGTAGCAGTCCAAGAAATTCCTCCTTTTGGCTGCTTGCTTCCTTTTTCAGGGTGGAATGCAGAAGGTTATTTTTAACCTGTTTCACATTACTGATCTTGTTCACAGTATAGCACCACAAGTAGTCTCTCTGCAATTGAAAGTCAAAATCTGTGTTCTAGGGAGCAGGAAAAGCAGCTGGGATAAGGCAGGATGGCATTCCTTAAGCCAACAGGGCCACTGAATGCATTGTGTTGTGTCTTGATTAGATGTGAAAATGTGTAGTGAAATTGAAGCTGAATGAATGTGGGCGTAGTTAAATATACTGTGTGATTGTCACCGGTCCTTATGTTAAAACCTTAAAGACTCCTAAACGCATAGGATCTATCCTTAAGTTAAAAAAAAAAAAGTCTGACATTTGCTTGACTGATACTAATACAGTGAAGACACTTCAGTCATTAGGGTCAGGAGTAGGGCCTTTATAGAATCATAGAATGTTTTGGGTTGGAAGGGACCCCTAGAGGTCATCTAGTCCAACCCTCCTGCAGGAGCAGGGACACCGCTAACTAGATCAGGTTGCTCACAGCCCCGTCCAACCTGGCCTGGAATGTTTCCAGGGATGGGGCCTCCACCACCTCTCTGGGCAACCTGTTTCAGTGTTTCACCACCCTCACTGTAAAGAACTTCTTCCTTATATCTAGTCTAAACCTACCCTGGTTTAGTTTAAAACCATTACCCCTTGTCTTGTCACTGCTGGCCCTACTAAAAAGATTTTCCCCACCTTTCCTATAGGCCCCCTTTAGGTACTGAAAGGCCGCAATCAGGTCTCCCCGCAGCCTTCTCTTCTCCAGGCTGAACAAGCCCAACTCCCTCAGCCTGGCCTCATAGGAGAGGTGCTCCAGCCCCCGGATCATTTTTGTGGCCCTCCTCTGGACCCACTCCAACACTTCCGTGTCCTTCTTGTGCTGAGGGCTCCAGAGCTGGACGCAGTACTCCAGGTGAGGCCTCACCAGAGCAGCTCTCCATCCTTTCTTCCCCCAGCCTGTACTGATACCAGGGGTTACCCCGACCCAGATCCAGGACCTTGCACTTGGCCTTGTTGAACCTCATGAGGTTCACACAGGCCCACCTCTCTAGCCTGTCCAGGTCTCTCTGGATGACATCCCATCAACCGCACCACTCAGCTTGGTGTCATCCGCAAACTTGCTGAGGGTGCACTCGATCTCGCTGTCTAAGTCATTGATGAAAACATTAAACAGCACCGGTCCCAGCACGGACCCCTGAGGGACATCATTCGTTACCGGTCTCCATCTGGACATCGAGCCATTGACCACTACCCTCTGGATGCGACCATCCAGCCAGTTCCTTATCCACTGAACAGTCCACCCATCAAATCCATAGCTCTCCAATTTAGAGAGAAGGATGTTGGGGGGGACCGTGTCAAAGGCTTTGCAGAAGTCCAGATAGATGACGTCTGTTGGTTTATGCTGCTGTCTCTGTTGTATTCAGAACTGGTAGCAGGAGCCTTCAAAGTCTGGTAAATTATCGATGCTTAGATATTTTTTACTGGGAATGGCAAAAGATATGTCTCAAATACCAATATGTGCCCCCATCTAGCCTCTCAAATAGATTTGGGTCCCTGTTCAAGAAGATTGCAAGTACTAAATCTTCCAAACGGAGCATGGTAAGTATATTTTCTGAAATGAAAAAACACCCTCAGTCTTAAAAAGATCTATTTATAGAAGACATTTAAGCCCAAGGAGATGAAATGTTTTACTTAATCAAACAATAGAAAGTAGGGTCTTTTACTAAACAATATTCAGTACAGGCAATTTTTATGAGTATGGTGTACAAAAAATAGACTGAGAGCTGTTTCTCCTCCACCTCATCATCTCTTGTAACACAAGAATAAAGCACCTGATTAAAACAAAGACAATGCAAATTCAAAACTGATAAAAAGAAAACAATTTGTACAGTGCGCAGGTGAGCTAGAGTCCTGTGTTGAAAGCTTGTTTTCATACTAAGGGGTATAGAATTTAAAGACGAGATATTTAGATAACTGAAAATATTCTCTTACAGTAGGACCATTGGCATTAACAGAGATTATTTGGCATGCTTTAGAAATTTATTTCAAAGCTTTTGTGAAGGTAGGATCAAAATCTAGCAAGAAACTTTGAAATCCATCCTCCAGGTGTTTGTCCTTTTTCTGCTGTTCTTTGCTATTTAAGTAGCCAAATTTTGTCTTCATGAGAAAGGTACTCCGTTGGAAGGTATTACAGTGATTCCTTTCTTGCTACAGCTGTTTAGCACACCGCAGTTTTACCTCCACCCCATTAAAGCAGTCTCAGAACTGTGTCAGGAGTTGAGGGAGCAGTAAGCAGAAGTTGGAAGTTGGCATAGTGGTAGTTTAACCAATTACAGTTTGATTTCTAAGGCATGGTCAGCTTGCTTCACAATTTTTTCTTCTTGAACAGCTGAACAGACTTGCTTAATCTCTCATTTTAAATGTAGTCCTTGGGTTTTTTTGTTCTTTGGTTCTCTTTGGCTTACAGTTCCTCATCATGATGGTCCTGTCAGGATGGCCGGGAGTATCACTGCAGCAGTGTGTGCAATACACTCTGAAATTTCTGGCCTGAGACGTTACGGCCACCACTCTGTTCTTATAAAACCCAACGTGATTCTCACCACTGGAGGCTTTGGGGAGGAGGATGGACAGCACTGCCGTATGAGAAATTTTCATGTGCTAATTAAACATGCAGGCTACTGGAAAGCTGGCTGTGTGAAAATGGAAAATCCTGATAAAAGATGGGGTGAGTTCCTATACTGATGGCAAGTGTAAGAAGACATTCTTCTGCTAACAGTGAAATAATGTATAGTGGAAAAGTGATGTCACAATGCAGTTATGCTGGCAGTCAAAAAGATCTGAAGGTTCTGAATGCTAAGTGCTAGGTCCTGCACTTGGGTCGTAACCATCCCATGCAACACTACAGGCGTGGGGCAGAGGGGCTGGAAAGCTGCCTGGCGGAAAAGGACCTGGGGGGGTTGGTCATCAGGCGGCTGAGTATGAGCCAGCAGGGTGCCCAGGTGGCCAAGAGGGCCAACGGCATCCCGGCTTGTATCAGGAGTGGTGTGGCCAGCAGGAGCAGGGCAGGAACCATGCCCCTGTACTTGGCACTAGTGAGGCCGCCCTTCAAATGCTGGGTTCAGTGTTGGGCCCCTCAGTCCAAGAAGGACCTGGAGGGGCTGAAGCGTGTCCAGAGAAGGGCAAGGAAGCTGGGGAGGGGTCTGGAACCCAAAGCTGCTGGGGAGCGGCTGAGGGACCTGGAGGTGTTTAGCCTGGAGAAAAGGAGGCTCCAGGGAGACCTTATGACTCTCTACAACGACCTGCAAGGAGGCTGTAGCAAAGTGGGTGTTGGTCTCTTTTCCCAAGTAACAAGTGATTGGACGAGGGGAAACAGCCTCAAGTTGCGCCAGGGGAGGTTTCAATTGGATATTAAGAAAAATTCCTTCCCTGAAAGGGCTGTCAAGCATTGGAAGGGGCTGCCCAGGGAAGTGGCCAAGTCACCATCCCTGGAGGCATTTAAAAGGCTTGTAGACGTGGTGCTTAGGGACACAGTTTAGTGGTAGACTTGGCAGTTTACTTGATGATCCTTAGGGTCTTTTCCAACCTAAATGGTTCTGTTGTTCTATGAATTTCATGGGAGAAAGATCGGTGTGAACCATGATGTTTTGTATCTCTACAGATGAGCGGTTGTACCATACTGTGTCATGTCTCTCAAACAGTCTGGCCCTGGTGGTAGGAGGACGAACATCCCCATCAAGAGCAGGCTTGGGAATGTTGTGGCTAAAGTTCCCTGAAACCTGCAATGCCTCGGACCCAGATGACATTACAGTGGAGCTTGTAAGTCTGCAGCCTGCTGCCGAACCAGCTGCTTTGCGTTGGAGACATAGTACAACTGAAGTAATATTCAAAGGTAAAGAGCCTAGAAAGAGTGGAAATGGCTGTAGGTATGCGGAGATATACAAATTCCAGAATATATGGGGCAGTCCTGTCCAGACAGTGAGATCTAAAAGGCAAGTTGTCATGATGCAGCCTAACTTTTTATGTAGTACGGGCTATGGAGTTAATCTACCCATTTCTTGTTGTGCCTTTTTTGTTTGTCAAGTCCAAAGGTATTTGTGAGAGGCTTTACTAAATCTGACGAAAGGGAAAGACTGAGCAGACTCAGGTGAGTTTTCTGAACTCAGCAACTGCATTGGTTGATCCAACAATTGAGCAGGGTTGCAGTTATCTATGCCATTACTACATGGTTGATTCATTACAGAACCTATACAACAGATACCTTGTGATAATGACTTTTATTATAGATGAGCTGCAATCCTGTTAGTTTTCTAGATGCAGGGCAGGAATTAAAAATACATATGATTGTATAGTGCCGGAAAAAGCTTATAACAGATTTTTGGAAATGCTACAATATATACTTGCAACTGTCATTTGATTAGCTCCCCTCTCGCAAACACACTTACCCACAAATGAAAAGACCCATTTTCAGCTCTTCCTGTTTAAGGAACGTGGTCAGACAGGCATACTGACCAGTAACCTGTTTATATGTGACTAGTCTTTTTTTATCCTTTTATCCCTCTGTCGTCCTGTGTTTGTACCTGCCCAAATCACCTCAATCCATCCCTTTTCCTGCCTCTGGTTTCTCTCCTGAGCATCCCATAATAGTCTTATGCAAACCCCAAATGCTTTTCCCCTGCATCTTACGTGTCCCATACCCATAGGCAGAGGATTGCTCCTGTTCACTCATTTTGATGGGTTTCACAGCTGGACAACAGGGCTGACAGTTCTCCTGGGACATCCCTGGGAGGAGCCGGGATGGATTGTCTCTATAAGCATGGAACTGGGGTTTTCCTGCCTGCATACCTGCCACTGCCTCTCTGCGTTCCTCCTGTGCATGAGGAAATGAGCCTTTTATGGCTTGATCGCTCTCCTGGAGTGAGTCTGGAAGTAGCTGAGGCAGGGTATTATTTGGGTTGCCCCACCTTGTTTTGCCTCTATGCTTCTCTCTGGGTGTGCAGGTGAGCTTTTAGCACATAACCTAGCACTGCTGGTGGGTGAGGCTTTATAATGATAAACAGATGCCTAAAAGAAAAGCAAAGCAAATGTTAAGAATTCTTAGCAGTAAGAATTACTACTAAAGGAACAAAAACCAGAATGGAGAGTACTGTTCTGCCATTATGCTATTCATAGAATCACAGAATGGTTTGGGTTGGAAGGGACCTTTTAGTTCCAACCCCCCTGCCATGGGCGGGGATATCTTTCACTAGATCGGGTTGTTCAAGGCCCCATCCAGCCTGACCTTGAACACTTCCAGGGATGGGGCATTCACAACTTCTCTGGGCAACCTGCTCCAGTGTCTCACCACCATTACAGTAAAGAATTTCTTCCTTATATCTAATCTAAATCTACCATCTTTAAAATCGTTACCCCTTGTCCTGTCCCTACAGGCCCTGGTAAAAAGTCTCTCAGTCTTTCTTACAAGGCCTCTGTAAGTATTGAAAGGCTGCAGTAAGGTCTCCCCGAAGCCATCTCTTCTCCAGGCTAAACAATTCCAACTCTTTCAGACTTTCCTCATAGGCAAGGTGATCCAGGCCTCTGATAATTTTTGTGGACTTCCTTTGGACCCACTATAACAGGGCTATATCTGTCTTGTGCTGGGCACCCCAGAGCTGGATGGCAGTACTCCAGGTGGGGTCTCACCTCCCTCTACCTGCTGGCCACACTTCTTTTTATGCAACCCAGGATACGATTGACTTTCTGGGTTGCAAGTGCACATTGCTGGCTCATGTCCAGTTTTTCGTCCACCAGTACCTCCAAGTCCTTCTCCACAAGGCTGCTCCCAATGCTTTCACCCCCTAGCTTGTATTGATAACCACGGATTGCCCCGACCCAGGTGCAGGACCTTGCACTTGGCCTTGTTAAACTTTGTGAGGTTCATATTGGCCCACTTCTCAAGCCTGTCCATAGAAAAGAAATTAAAAGAGGCTTTGAGATTTCTTCTTGATGTTTGAAATACGGTAATTTCCAATTTCGTATACCACATAATCCCCAGTAGAATTGAAACCTGGGAATGTAATCTGTTCTGGAAAACTGATTCTTTGAGACCATTTATGGCTGAAGTTATTCATGCTTGATACTCCAGAAAGAAGTTTCAGAACTTCCTCTATGAAGGATAGTATTTTAAGTCTGGAGCATTATGGAGCAGGATCCGTGGCTCTTTACCCAGGGGACGTGCCTCAGAAGAAATGTTGCTCTTCTAGTAGCAGTTGACAAATATTCAGTAGTTCTGAATAGGTCTAGAATCAAGCCCTGCAGTGGCACGCTGAAGATTTGTCTAGTAAAAGATATTGACTATAAGGGGCGAAAAACTTGCAGCAGTTCTTAGCAAGTCAGTGGTGGGACTCAGTGGAATTAAGGCGGTCAGAGGTGTCCTTTCTTAAGCTGTTTCATTCTCCACTAGCTGTCAGGGAGCTGTTAAGAGGGAACACCAGGGGAATTGTTAAGCAGTTGTTAGTCTAGTCTGGACCATACTTTGAATTTGTGTAGTAGTGTTTAATTAATATCATATCATATGTTAGGGTTCAGCCTTCCAGTCTAAATTTTATATCAAAGAAGCAAATGCTAAATGGGTAAATAAGGTTTTATAAATAATACATTGCTTTTTGTCTTTGTCAGACTGTATCCTCTTATTTTTGCCTTGATTTTGCTTTGTTGCTGAAGTAAGCGACCAACGCTTGTGTTATTTGCACAGTTCATTATGAAGAAATGAGCTGACAGGGCATAGTGCGGTTAACGCACATATACCCAAAGTGCTTTTGCACCATTTGTACCTCCTTTTAGAGGCTTCTCCAGATTAACTCCTACGTGCTTAAATTATCATTATCTCCCTTTTGTATGATCAAATACACATTCTTCTTTTATGAGGATTTATCTGTTTTCTTGGGATAAATAAATGTCATCATGTTGCTATGATTTATGTCCTTGGGGTTTTCTAATTTTATTAGTTCCATAGGTGTAATCTTGCCATTGCTAAATTTTCATTCCTTATGTCCATTAGGTATATTAAAAAACATGTCTTCTTCTTTTGCTTTTGAGACTATAGTGCATGATTTCCATTCAGACCTTAAACATTGAGAAACTACATAATATAAGTGGATCACGGGGGTCTTCTGAATGACCACAAACGTGAAGAATACAGCTTCTTAGTAAAAGTATTTAGTCTTCCATGTGTCTTATAAAAGATCTGGATACAAGAGTAATTCCTGTATCTATGAAACAATTGCTTGCTTATCTGGAAATGTTCATAAGGTTGCAGGATGTCTTAATATAAATAGTGTATAAAACTTCTGCCTGACTGCATTAATTTCTGTCTTTGGTCCGCTTCCCTTCTGTGCAATAGAAATTTTTGCTTTTGTGACATACCACATTCTAACTTCTCTTTTCACCTGTTTGTCTTTTTCTGTAGGTGAGAAGTACCTGTTTCTGTATGGTGGCCGCTCTGCTATGGAGCCTGTGCTAGGGGATTGGTATTTCCTGCACACCCAAGAACTTTCCTGCACTGTGGTAAGAACTTAGGGAGGCCCTGGGGAGTAGAAATTGCCTTCACTTCATAGGTGCATGCTGCTGTATTGGAAGCCCCACTAAATCACAGTGGTGTTACCATATTGAAGTGGATGGCATTGGCAGTACTGTCACACTCCACGCTGATTAGAGTTAGAGCTAACTTCTAAACACCTTGCCATCTTGTGGAATACAGTCTTCACCAGTATAGTTGAAGCTGGAAGGGACATCTGGAGATCATCTAGTCCAGCACTGTTGCTTAAAGCAGGTCTAACTAGAGCAGGTTGCTCAGTATAGTGTCCGGTTGGATTTTGATTATCTCCAAAGATGGAGACTCCACAACTTCTTTGGGGTACCTATTCCAGTGTCTGACCACCCTCATAGTAGAATGTGAGCGGGTTTTATGTTGATTTTTTTGTATTTCATTTTGTGCCCATTGCTTCTTGCCCTGTTACTGGATATGACTGAGAACATGCTGTCTTCTTTCATCTCTCCCATTAGGCATTTGTACATGTTGATAGGATTTCCCTGTGAGCATTCTCAGTCACTGAGGCAAGCAGCTCCAGTGCCAGCACGATCTGCAGTGGATGCTCTAGCACGGTGTGCAGGGGGGTTTCCTGAACTGGGGAAATCTCAGGGGAGCACAGAGATGCGCCTGGAGCAACCACAGCCAAGCCCCCCACACCTATAAAAGAAACCCCTAGGGAGCGCTAGCAACCAGGAGTGCTGCAACCAGGGCAGGCAAATAGGCTGTGACACGTCAGCCATGGCATGGTGTGGCAGTTTGTACAGAAGGGCACTATAACATTGCCAGCTCGAACAGGGAGCAAAGGTATCTGCATGTCTGCAACTGACGCAGCTTCCCAGGCAGAGCTCTGATGGGAACATGCTGCTACCCAGGTGTCAGACTGCAGGGTGTGCCCTGCTCCTATACCAGTACAGCAGTAGTGAGCACCCCTGCTAGTGAGGTCCTTCAGTTTGCTCCACATTGTGCTGAGTACACTGGAGCACATTTGAAATGTCTCTATACTAATGTACACAGCATGAGGAATAAACAAGAGGAGCTTTGGCCCAGTCCCAGAGCTATGACATTATTGGCATAAGAGGAACCTGTTGGGATGAGTCCTGTGACTGGTGTGCCACGGTGGGTGGTTATAGGCTCTTCAGGAAGGATAGGCAGGTGTTGTGGTTTAACCCTTCTGGCAACTCGGCACCACGCAGCCGCTCATTCACTCCCCCCACAATGGGACGGGGGAGAGAATCAGAAGAGTAAAAGTGAGAAACTCGTGGGTTGAGATAAAGACAGTTCAATAGGGAAAGCAAAAGCTGCACATGCAAGCAAAGCAAAGCAAGGACTTCATTCCTTGCTTCCCATGGGCAGGCAGGCAGGTGCTCAGCCATCTCCAGGACAGCAGGGCTCCATCACACGTAACGGTGTCTTGAGAAGACAAACACCATCGCTCCCAGTGTCCCCCCCTTCCTTTTTCTTCTCCCAGTTTATATACTGAGCATGATGTCATAGGGTCTGGAATAGCCCTTTGGTCAGTTGGGATCAGCTGTCCTGGCCGTGTCCCCTCCCAGCTTCCCGTGCCCCTGGCAGAGCTGAGAGCTGAGAAGTCCTTGGTCAGTCTAAGCACTACCCAGCAACAACTAAAACATCAGTGTGCTAACAACATTCTTCTAGTACTGAATCCAAACCAAAGCACTATGCCAGTTACTAGGAAGAAAATCAACTCTGTCCCAGCCGAAACCAGGACAGCAGGGCAGGCGAAGCAGGGGGAGTCGTGCTGTATATAAGGGAGGGATCGAATTGTATGGCGCTTGCAGTTGGCAATGACATGCTTGAGAGCCTCAAGGATTAAGGGGAAAGCAAATAAAGCAGATGTTATTGTGGGAGTCTACTATTGGCCACGCAGCCAGGACGATGACACTGATGAATTATTCTTTAAGGAATTAAGGGCTATCTCTAGATCAGCTGCCCTTGTCCTTATGGGTGATTTTAACATCAACTGGGAACATCATACAGTGGGCACTAATAGGTCTGGGAAATTCCTGAAGCACGTTGAAGATAACTTCTTTGTGCAGGTAGTAAAGGACCTAACTAGGAAAGGTGCCCTCCTAGATTTGTTGTTTGTAAACAGCGAAGGACTCGTGAGCAAAGTGGTGATTGGTGGCTGTCTTGGTCACAGTGACCATGAAGTAGTTGAGTTTCAAATCATTGGCAACAGGAGAACTGCCAGCAAAACTTTGACCTTGGATATGGGGACTTCAGGCTGCTGAAGGAACTAGTTAGTAAGGTCCCTTGGGAAGCTGCTTTTGAAGGCATTGAGGTCCATGAAGGCTGGTCACTTTTTAAGAGCCATCGCTTAAGAGCACAGGAGCAGTCAATTCCAAAGTGTCAGAAGTCAAGCAAAGTGGGGCAGAAGGCTGGTCTGGCTGAGCAGGGATTTTCTAGAACTGTTATGGTTTAACCTGGCAGGCAGCTAAACAACACACAGCCATTCGCTCACTTCCCCCACTCACCAGTGGAGTGGGGGAGAGAATCGGGGGAAAAAAAAGTAAAACCCATGGGTTGAGATAAAGACAGTTGAATAAAACAGCAGAGGAAAATAATAATAATGATGATGATAAAAGAATATACAAAACGATGCACAACGCAGCTGCTCACCACCTGCTGACCAATGCCCAGCCTGTCCCTGAGCAGTGATTGCTGCCCCTTGGCCGACTTCCCCCAGTTCCTATACTGAGCATGACATCATATGGTATGGAATACTCCTTTGGCCCTTGTAAAATGCCCAAAGCTGATTCCTGAGAATAAAAGAGGTGGACAGCATGCAATACAGCCCAATAGAGGTATGCAACAAGAATGACCGGATCACATACCTTACACAAGAAGATTTTGAATGACCTGTAGCTATTGAGTCTGGAGAAGATAATAAATCGTCAAATAGGTAAAATATAGCTGCAGAGAGGACAAACAAATTATTCTCCATACTTTGGGTAGTACAAGGAATCAACAGAAAGGGCAACTTCATTTAGACACTAAGAAAAGCTATTAATTGTGAAGATGGTAAAGTGCTGCAATAGACTGCCTAAAAAGTGAGAAATTCTTGCCACTGCAGACTTTCAGAAACTATTAAATAACCATCTTTAGTGTTTGCACTAAGGGTATTTTTTCTGCATGTTAGTACTGCAGTTCAGCATTTTATCTTGCTCTGTGTTAGTCACTGCATTAGTCCATGTGTTTGTAAACTTGTGGTTCTCAGGTGCATGTCTTGACCAGAAAGCAGCACACAAGGATGCAGGTGAAGTTACCTCTGATGTGCAGAAATAAACCCCTCTGAAGACTGAATGTTATTAAATATACCAAGGGCCAGAGAAATACTGGAGATAGTGAAAATGGAAACACTTCCACTTAGCCATCCGTAGAGGAGCATGTGTCAGCTGGGGTTTTTTGATTATTCCCTATCATGCTTACCTGTTCCCCTCCAGAAACTGTTTCTGTCCTATGGCAGGAAAGAATGTTCCATCCCACAGGACAGGCAGGAAGAGATCATTTAAGAGCCTGGACATGAAGAGGACTTTAAGCTTGGACTTAATGTTTTCCTAGATTCCTGTTGAGGGTCCAGTACCAGAAAGCCGTCACTCTCACAGTGCCTGTAGCTGGAAAGGAGGAGTGCTAATTGCAGGAGGTCTGGGAGTGGCTGAGCAGCCCTTAGGTTCAGTTTTCTTTCTGAGGGAGCTTGAACATGGCTTTCACTGGCAGACAGTAGAGACGCACCCTTCTCTCATCCCAAGGTAAGTAGAAGGCGTTTAGCAGTGAATCTTCTGCCTGTCTCTACCTCCCTCTCTTACTAATGGAGTTCAGTCTCATTTTGAACTTTCAGGTATTCACATACTGCACATGTACATGATGGAAAACTTCTGCTTGTTGGTGGAGTGTGGTTTCACTCATGCTCTGTGCCAGGCATCACTGTCATTGACTTAATGACTGGTCTCTGCTTGGACTATGTGATTAATGTGGTAAGTACTGAAATTTTTCTTTCAGGGTAAACACTGTTGTGTGAAGGAACACGGTAGCTTTAGGGCTATTCCCTGAAACAGAGTAGGGGATATAAAGTAGGCAAATTTGTGAGTAGAATAAACATTCCCTGTTTGAGGTAGAATCTAATTTTGAAGTGCTTTTACTAGCCCAAAGAATGTAATAGTGTCAAGGGGAGTCTGAGTGTGCGGAAGACTGGAGGGCACGGAGCTGCTTGATTCCAGATGAGGAAGCAGAACTGAGATGACCACAAGCATAGTAATTTCAGGATGTCTATGGAAGAAGAGAACAGATCAAACCAGAGCCTCAGTTAGTCTTTGTGGAGATCTGTGGCATAATGTAATTAAAAACTTCACGGTAGAAATTGCTGTGTGCTATGGCTGCTGCCTGAAGTACAAGAAAAAAATGGCATGGAAATACTGGAAACTCCACTTAAACATAAGAAAACGTTTACTGTAAGGGTGATTGAACACTAAACAGGTTGCTCAGAGAGGCTGTGGTGTTTCCACCATTGGAGATATTCAAAACCTGACAGGGCAAGGTCCTGAGCAACCTGCTGTAGTTGAGCCTATTTTGAACAGGGGTGGTTAGACTAGATGATACTCAGAGGTCCCTTCCAATCTCAACTGTTCTGCGATTCTGTTCTATGATTCAGTGAAGAACAATCATACAGGTAATGTCACATAGCTGCATTTTGGCATACTCTGGTGAAAAATTAGTCTAAATCTGTGAGTAGCCCTCATCTGTGGTAATACTGCCTGGAGTACAAGACATGGATCTGTTGGAGCGGGTCCAGAGGAGAGACACAAAAATGATCAGGGGCTTGGAACACCTCTCCTAGGAGGACAGGCTGAGAGCGTTGGGGTTGTTTAGCCTGGAGATGAGGAGGCTCCAGGGAGACCCTACTGCGGCCTTTCAGTACTTAAAGGGGGCTTATAAGAAAGATGAGGACACGCGTGAGCGAGGTCTGCAAAGTCCCCTGCAGGGGGAAACTGTACCAGCAACGCATAGTGGGTACCGTAAGCAGAAGCGACGAGTCCTCGTAATAGGTGACTCTCTGTTGAAGGGTACTGAGGGACCCATCTGCCGACCTGACAGAGAGTCACGTGAGGTATGTAGCCTTCCGGGAGCCAAGGTTCGAGATGTGGCTGAGAGGATGCCACAACTCATCAGGAGAACGGACTACTACCCTCTACTACTATTTCACGTAGGAACAAATGATACGGAAAGCAGAAACCTGAGCAAAATCAAAGAAGACTTTAGAGCCCTGGGGGTACAAGTGAAAAGCATTGGGGCCCAGGTTATCTTTTCCTCTATCTTACCAGTCCGAGGGAAGGGAGCGGCCAGATACAGGCGCATCATGTACATAAACTCATGGCTACGTGACTGGTGCCGTCGTGAGGGTTTCGGCTTTTATGACAATGGGACGTTCTTTGGCGACTGCAACCTGTTAGGGAGAGATGGGGTCCACCTCT